AAAACTGGCATCTTACCAATACTGAGTCTTCTGATTTATGAGCATGGTATATATATTAATATTTAAACCTTCTTTATTTCTCTCAGGAATGTTTTGTGGTTCACAGTGTATACATCTCGGACATTTTAAAATCAGACTTGTACGTTGATGGGACCCTCTTGAAAAAAAAAAATAATAAAATAAAATCAGACTTACCCCTAAGTATTTCATAGTTTTGATGCTATTGCAAATGATGTTGATTTTTCACTTCACTGCCCAATTGTTCCTAGTATATAGAAATATAGCTGGTTTTTTATGCATATCTTGTATCCAGAAATCTTCCTAAATTCACTTATTAGCCCTAGTAGCTTTATTTGTAGATCCCATAGAATTTTTTATGTAGATGATCATGTCTTTTGCAAATAAAGACAGTTTTACTTCTTCCTATCCAATCTGGATACTTTTTCCTTTTTCTTGCCTTACTGTACTGGCTAGAACCTTAGTATGATAGTAAATAGAAGTAGAAACAACAGACATCATTACCTTGTTACTGATCTTAGAAAGTATTTCACTGTTAAGTATCATGTGACAGGAGCAGAAGTCTTGTATGTGTATTTTCAAGATTTTTATAAGTATGGACTTCAGAAAAATGCCAATTTACAGCATCTACAGCAATGTATGCAAAGGTAGCTTTTCTTATACACATGCCCACATTAGGCATTATCTTAGAAAAATTAAAATATGCCAGTGTTAATGTTATCTATTTATTTTAAATCTGTGTTTTATATCTTAAATTTGTGTTTATTAATGGAGGTCAGCATCATCTAATGTTTGTATGCTGGTTGTATTTTTTTATTAGTTGTCTATGTCCTCTACTCATTTTTTTTTTTTCTGAGGTAGAGTCTCACTCTGTTGCCTGGGCTAGAGTACCGTGGTATCAGCCTAGCTCACAGCAACCTCAAACTCCTGGGCTCAAGCAATCCTCCTGCCTCAGCCTCCCAAGTAGCTGGGACTACAGGCATGCGCCACCATGCCCGGCTAATTTTTTTCTATATATTTTTAGTTGGCCAGTTAATTTCCTTCTATTTTTAGTAGAGACGGTGTCTCGCTCTTGCTCAGGCTGGTTTCGAACTCCTGAGCTCAAACGATCCGCCCTCCTCGGCCTCCCAGAGTGCTAGGATTACAGGTGTGAGCCATTGTGCCCAGCCCCTCTGCTCATTTTTAATGGTATATTCATTTCTTTCTTAATAATTTTATAGTAGTTCTTTAAAGATCTAATATCTTTAACTATATCTGTCATATATGTCTGTAAGTATCTTTCCCAATTTGTCTTTTGTCTTTTACCTTTGTTTATGGGTTTGTTTTTATATATACTATTTTTCTTTTTTTTCTTTTTTAATAATTTCATTTCAAACTAATTTCTTTTTTTACTTTTTTTTATTGCTTTCCATCCTAATTTGTCCTATATATATACAATTTTTAAATATACTTTATTTTCTTTTACAGCAGTCTTATGTTCACAGCAAAATGGAGCATAAAGTACAAAGTTTCCTTATATCCTCACCCCCATACACACACAGCCTCTCCCACTATTAGCATCCTGCACCGATTATATATTTGTTACAATCAGTGAATCTAACCTAAATTGGCACATCATTATCACCCAAAGTCCATAGTCTACATTGGAGTTCATTCTTGGTGTTTTACATTCTGTGGGTTTTGAGAAACGTATATAATGACATATATTCACCATTATAGTATCATACAGAGTAGTTTCACTGCCATAAAAAATCCTCTGTTCTCTGCCCCTTCATCACTTCCTCCTCCCTAACCCCTAGCAACTACTGATCTTTTTATTGCCCCCATAATTTTGCCTTTTCCAGAACGTGATAGAGTTGGAATCTCACAGTATTTCTTTACAGATTGGCTCCTTTCAGTTAGGAATATGTATTTAAATTTCCTCTGTGTCTTTTCATGGCTGGATAGGTCATTTCTTTTTAGTGCTAAATAATATTCCATTGTCTGGATGCACCACAGTTTACTCATTCACCAACCGAAGGACATATTGGTTGTTTCCAATTTTGGCAATTATGAATAAAGCTGATATAAACAGCCATGTGCAGTTTTTTGTGAGGACAAAAGTTCTCAACTCAGCTTGGGGGGCAGGAGCAAGAGCAGTGGCCAGGCAGCCCAGTTTCACGAAGGCACTCGGTGCACCGTGACCCGCAGGCACCTACCTCGCACACTCCCTGTTGCCAAGATGCCCAAGAGGAAGGTCAGCCAGCTGAAGGCGGTGAAGGAAGAGCCCAAGAGAAGATCTGCACAGTTGTCAGCTAAACCTGCTCCTGCAAAAGTGGAAACAAAGCCCAAAAAGGCAGCAGCAAAAAATGAATCTTCAGACAAAAAAGTGCAACCAAAAGGGAAAAGGAGAATAATTGGAAGACAGGCTCAAGTGACTAACCAAGAAACCAAAGAAGATTCACGTGCAGAAAATGGAGAAACTAAAACTGAGGAGAGTCCAGCCTGTGATGAAGCAGGAGAGAGAGAAGCCAAGTCTGAGTAATATCACATACCATGTCTTATCAGTGGTCACTGTCACCCTGCTTGTACAATCCAGAGGAATATTTGTATCAACTATTTCATAAATGCAAGTTTAAGTAGTTCCAGAAACATTTTTAAGGAGAGAATCCCACCTCGTCCCATTTTTTAAGTGTAAATGCTTTTTTTTTTAACAGGTGGAATCATTCGCTGGTTGTTTATTTTTTGGTACAATCAGAAAATAATGTGAGATATTGAATTATGGGAGGCTTTGACTGTCTTGGGTGTCAGCTTATATTCCATAGATAGGGGTTAGTTTTTACATCCTATAATACAAAGCATACTAAATGGCAATATGGAGTCCCAGGCCTACATTTAATGTCTTGGACATTTTAAATTACTTCTATTCCTATGTTGTTTTTTAGTAGACTTGTTTCCTAAAGAAAACCACTCCTTGATCATGGCTTTCTCTGACGGAATTGGGTATACTCTTTGGTTGTGGTAGTCCTGTTTTCCTAATAACTTTGTTAATGTGCTGTGAAAGACTGAAAATTTGAGTATGTAGCATAAATGATAATAAATTGTGAATTGGTGGGACTTATGTAACAGCTTATCAGTATTTGAAGATACTGGTACTTGATATCCTCTTAAGGAAAATTTGCCTCCAAATTTTAAGCTGGAAAGTCACTGGAATAACTGTTTAAAAAAAGAATTAAAATAAATGGCTTTTTATATTTTCGGTACATATGTTAAGAATTGTGTATAAATTAAACTGTCTGATCCTCAACACAACCAATAAAATCTCAATTACAAAAGAATGTTTTGAAGCACATTAAAAAATTTTCAACTTATTTGGGTAAATACTAAGGAGCTGATTTCTAGATCATATGGTAAGAGTATTTTTATGTTTTTTGTGTATTTTTTTAAAAAACATTGAAGCTTTTACTTTTGTCGTCAAATCTATCAACCTTTTCTTTCATAATTTCTGTCTTTAGTGTTGAATAGAATGGCTTTTCCCACCCAAAACTGTATAAATATTCACTTATGGATACTTACAAATATATGTATCTTCCTCTAGTAGTTCACTGGTTTCTTATTTTTACATTTTAATCTTTATTTTATTTTGACATGAGGCAGATGTCTAACTTTATTTTCCCTTGGCTTTCTGTTCATTTCTGTAGTTATATAAAGCTCCCTCTAAATGTGTGATCTACACAGCACCTACAAAGGAGTTCCCATTTTACAAATAAGGAAGCTAAGGCCAGGAGAGGTATTTCAATACATTTAAAGTCACACAACCTTTAATTTACATAGGATTCAAACCCATATCTTTCGATGCCAAGTTCTGTTCTTCTTTCCATCACAGACTTGTGTGGTCCTCAAAGTATGGTCCACACACGTGTAGCATTGGCAATACCCTGGGAGCTTGTTGGAAATGCTGAGTCTTGGGCCCCATTCCAGACCTACTAATCAGAATCTCTATTGCTATCAAGTTGGAGAAGCACTGCAGTGCATAATATTTCCCCAAATTTAGGGTACATCAGAATCACCTGGGGCACCTGTTCAGCTCTGTCTCTCTTCAATATTTTAACTCAGTAGGTCTGGACTGAGGACCAAGAATCTATATTTTAACAAACATCTCAGCTTGTTCTTATGCAGGTGGCCCCAAGGATCACACTTGAGACATGCATTAAAACTGAGAAATATTCTTAAGCTATATAACCAGGGGTGATGGCTGATTATTTCTCCAAATCTCAATTTTGATAAGTGTCCTTCTAACCTGGAAAAGAGATAGTTAGGAGGTGACAATAACTCTTATATGGCAGCATATGGAAATTAGGTTGTAATGATGAAGGTAATGTAACGAGAATGAATCTTCAGTTTTACAGAAAATCAAACCAAGAAAAGGAAGGGGAAAAGTCCTTTAATTGATCTAGATTGTAGTGGAGGCAATCTATCTACTCAAATAGATTGCAGTCCACTTCCCCTCCTTCAGATTTTGCCAATCACGTCCGTGAGCCTAGGTCTCTTCGCCAGTAAAATGGGGTAATAATAACCTACCAGTGGGAAGAAAGAACCTGCTTGTCAACTTTCTGAATTTATTCTCCCCAGTATCGACGTCCACAGGCCTGGAATGAGTAACCGTTCTAAGAGACTGAGCAGCTTCGTTTGGCCAGCTTAGATTTGCCCGGAAGCAGACGCCACCTGGACAGAGGTGGGGCCCCGGGCGACCAGAAGGGGGCCCTCCGCGGGACCAGTCCGCGCCAGCCGGTGGAGCCGACACTCTGTCCCAGCAGGTCCCGACGGACTCCTTCGTCAGTAATTCATTAGGAACCTCCTCTCCATTGGCTGACGCCTCCACCCTTCGCTGGCAAAGGTCCAATGAGGAAGGACCTGAGAGAGCCCTTCTGAATAGTGAACGAGCGCCCGTGACGTAGCGGCTGGCTATTGGCTGTGGGGGCGCGAGGCGGGACCGGGCTCGGGCGGCGGCGAGCGCGGCCGGGGCGGCTCAGTGCGAGCTGGGGAGGGTCGAACTCAGATCTGGGTCCGTGCGCTGAGCGTGACGGCGGCGCGATGTTCAGCTGGCTGGGGCGGCAGGCGGGCGGGCGCGAGCGCGCCGGCGGCGCGGACGCAGTGCAGACGGTGACCGGCGGCCTGCGCTCGCTCTACCTGCGCAAGGTGCTGCCGCTGGAGGAGGCGTACCGCTTCCACGAGTTCCACTCGCCGGCGCTGGAGGACGCCGACTTCGAGAACAAGCCCATGATCCTCTTGGTGGGCCAGTACAGCACGGGCAAGACCACCTTCATCAGGTAACCCGCCTTGCGCTCTTCTCTCCGCTGTGGGGGCCCTTGCCCCTCGCCACCGGGGCGGCTCCCCCCACATGTGCGTGTGGCGTACTGTCACCAGCCTCCCGCTGCCCTCAGGCCACCTGTGGCGCCTTCTTCCCCTTGGCGGAACCGCCTCGCTGCACCTTCCTCCTTCAACATCGGCGTGACCTCAGGTAGCCCCTCCGAGCGCGGCGCCTCAGTGCCCGCAGCCCCGCCCCCGGGCGCGGCCGCCAGAGTGCCGGCTGTCTCTCGCCACGAGGGCGAGAGGGTCCCGGAACCCGCTCTCTCCCTACTCCGAGCCCTTCTTGCTGTCGGGAGGACACGCCTCTGGATGGCTTTATCCTGTCACCCTAGCCTGGGGGCTCAGGGGAGGAAGGAGGAGCGGGGCTGTAGTAAGCTGCTTCTCGGTGAGGGAGTGCTGCCTAGGGCTGAAATGGGGGCGGAGGTGTGGGGTATTCAGAATGGGCCCTAGAAGGTTAAGTTCCTAGCACAGTGCCCCGCGCGTAACTAGTAATTGAACGGATGAATGGCAGCAGTAGAGGGTGTTGCCCATGCCCCCTTCCCTGGAGGTCCTTCCATGTCACCCCCGACCACAGTGATGAGGAGAGGGGATAAAGAGGCCACTTCCATTCAGCTCTTACACAGCCTCGCCTTTACTGGCCATAGGAAGTGAGCTGTGTGTAGCAGCCGCACCAGCCTGTAGAACCAAAGGGGAGTGTCATGTTACTAGTTGTTAGTTTCCATTTCTTAGGTGGCTCACCCTTGACAACTGAAAATATTTGTCATGCTTACTGTGTCTTTGAAAGCACACAACTACTGTGCGAGCTCTGTGGTTCAAATCATACAGCTTCCTCTGAAGTGACTTTTGATGGGAATTGACTTACAATGGAACAGACTGCTTTTTTCATCAGCTGTTCTATTTCAAAAGCAACCACCATACCAAAGCTCACTTTCTTTGGTAAAGAGACTTGTTTTTCTGGTTTAAACCCCATGTCAGTTGAAACAAAGTGGCTGATTATTTAAGGTTTGGGTCCAGGATTTTGGAAATTGTAACAATCACTTCATCATTTCATGTTCAACAGGTGCTCAGAATACTGCTTTATATTTGGATATGTGCCATTTCTGTTAAGTACCGACCTCTTTTTCTCCACTCCAGTGACCTCAATAGTTCCTACAAATAGAGTAGTTGTCGCTATAGGAAATATGTTAAATCCAGGCCCGCAGATACACTGTGAATGAATTCAGCAAAGCAAATACACTGTGTATTGAAATGTAGTTCTAGAAAGTAAATTAATTGCATGTGAAGGAAGACTAAAGAAAATAAATTTTGCCAAAACGATCGCCTCCTCGCCTCCAGAGTGCAAGGATTACAGGTGTGACCATTGTGCCCAGCCTCTGCTCATTTTAATGGTATATTCATTTTTCTTAATAATTATATGTAGTTCTTTAAAGTCTAATATCTTTATATATCTGTCATATATGTCTGTAAGTATCTTTCCAATTTGTCTTTGTCTTACCTTTGTTTATGGTTTGTTTTTTATACTATATTCTTTTTCTTTTTAATAATTTCATTTCAAACTAATCTTTTACTTTATTGTATTTCCATCTAATTTGTCCTATATATATACATTAAATATCTTTATTTCTTTTCAGCGTCCTTATGTTCACAGCAAAATGGAGCATAAAGTACAAAGTTCTTATATCCTCACCCCCATACCACACAGCTCTCCACTATTAGCATCCTGCACGGATTATATATTTGTTACAATCAGTGAATCTCCTAAATGGCACATAATTATCACCCAAGTCCATAGTCTACATTGGAGTTATTCTTGGTGTTTACATTCCTGTGGTTTTGAGAACTATTAATGACATATATCTCACCATTATAGTATCAACAGAGTAGTTTCACTGCCATAAAATCTCTGTTCTCTGCCCCTTCATCACTTCCTCCTCCCTAACCCTAAACTACTGATCTTTTATTCCCATAATTTGCTTTCCAGAACGTGATAGAGTTGGAATCTCACAGTATTCTTTACAGATTGGCTCCTTTCAGTTAGGAATATGGTATTATAAATTCCTCTGTGTCTTTCATGGCTGGATAGGTCATTTCTTTTTGTGCTAATAATATTCCATTGTCTGGGTGCACCACAGTTACTCATTCACACACCGAAGGACATATTGGTTGTTTCCAATTTGCAATTATGAATAAGCTGATATAAACAGCCATTGCATTTTTGTGAGGACAAAAGTTCTCAACTCAGCTGGGGGGCAGGAGCAAGAGCAGCGGCCAGGCAGCCCAGTTCCAACAGGCACTCGGTGCACCGTGACCCGCAGGCACCTACCTCCACACTCCCTGTTCCAAGATGCCCAAGAGGAGGTCAGCCAGCTGAAGGGGTGAAGAAGAGCCCAAGAGAAGATCTGCACAGTGTCAGCTAAACCTGCTCTGCAAAGTGGAAACAAGCCAAAAGGCAGCAGCAAAAATGAATTTCAGCAAAAAGTGCAACCAAAAGGGAAAGAGAAATTGGAAACAGCAGGCCCAAGTGACTAACCAAGAAACCAAAGAAATTCAACGTGCAGAAAATGGAGAACTAAAACTGAGGAGAGCCCCCGTGATGAAGCAGGAGAGAGAGACCAAGTCTGAGTAATATCACATACATGTCTTTCAGTGGTCACTGTCACCTGCTTGTACAATCCAGAGGATATTTGTATCACTATTTCATAAATGCAAGTTAAGTAGTTCCAGAAACATTTTAGGAGAATCCACCTCGTCCCATTTTTTAAGTGTAAATGCTTTTTTTTTACAGTGGAATCATTCCGGTGTTTATTTTTTGGTACATCAGAAAATAATGTGAGATATTGATTATGGGAGGCTTTGACTGTCTTGGTGTCAGCTTATATTCCATATAGGGGTTGTTTTACATCCTATAATACAAGCATACTAAATGGCAATATGGAGTCCCAGGCCTACATTTAATGTCTTGGACATTTAAATTACTTCTATTCCTATGTTGTTTTTTAGTAGACTTGTTCCTAAAGAAAACCACTCCTTGATCATGGCTTTCTCTGACGGAATTGGGTATACTCTTTGGTGTGGTAGTCTGTTTTCCTAATAACTTTGTTAATGGCTGTGAAAGACTGAAAATTTGAGTATGTAGCATAAATGATAATAAATTGTGATTGGTGGACCTTATGAAACAGCTTATCAGTATTTGAAGTACTGGTACTTGATATCCTCTTAAGGAATTTGCTCCAAATTTTAAGCTGGAAAGTCACTGGAATAACTGTTTAAAAAGAATTAAAATAATGGCTTTTATATTTCGTACATATTTAAGAATTGTGTATAATTAACTGTCTGATCCTCAACAAAACCATAAAATCTCATTACAAAAGAATGTTTGAAGCACATTAAAATTTTCAACTATTTGGGTAAATACTAAGGAGCTGATTTCTAGATCATATGGTAAGAGTATTTTATGTTTTTTGTGATTTTTTAAAAACATTGAAGCTTTACTTTTGTCGTCAATCTATCAACCTTTCTTCATAATTTCTGTCTTTAGTGTTGATAGAATGGCTTTTCCCACCCAAACTGTAAAAATTCACTTATGGATACTTACAAATATATGTATCTTCTCTAGTAGTTCACTGGTTTCTTATTTACATTTAATCTTTATTTTATTTGACATGAGCAGATGTCTAACTTATTTCCTTGGCTTTGTTCATTTCTGTAGTTATATAAAGCTCCTCTAAATGTGTGATCTACACACACTACAAGGAGTTCCATTTACAAATAAGGAAGCAAGGCCAGGAGAGGTATTTCATACATTTAAAGTCACACAACCTTTAATTTACATAGGATTCAAACCCATATCTTCGAATGCCAAGTTCTGTTCTTCTTTCCATCACAGACTTGTGTGGTCCTCAAAGTATGGTCCACACACGTGTAGCATTGGCATACCCTGGAGCTTGTTGGAAATGCTGAGTCTTGGCCCATTCCAGACTACTAATCAGAATCTCTATTGCTATCAGTTGAGAAGCACTGCAGTGCATAATTATCCCAAATTTAGGTAATCAGAATCACTGGGCACCTGTTCAGCTCTCTCTCTTCAATATTTTAACTCAGTAGTCTGGACTGAGGACAAGAATCTATATTTAACAAACATCTCAGCTTGTTCTTATGCAGGTGCCCAAACAAAAACAAAAAAATCAATTGATCATATATATGAATCTATTTCAGGATTCTATATGTTCCATTGATATATGAATTAATCTTTACACCAATACCATATCGTCTTGATTTCTGTAGCTTTCTAGTAAGTCTTGAAATGAGGTATTGTAAGTGCTCCAGCTTTGTAGTTTTTAAGTATATTGTATCTACATATGAATTTTAGAATCAGCTTCTTAATTTCTAAAAATATAAAAGCCTACTAGTACTTTGATTAGGATTGTCATGAATCTATACATCAATTTGGGAAAAACTGGCATCTTACCAATACTGAGTCTTCTGATTTATGAGCATGGTATATATATTAATATTTAAACCTTCTTTATTTCTCTCAGGAATGTTTTGTGGTTCACAGTGTATACATCTCGGACATTTTAAAATCAGACTTGTACGTTGATGGGACCCTCTTGAAAAAAAAAAATAATAAAATAAAATCAGACTTACCCCTAAGTATTTCATAGTTTTGATGCTATTGCAAATGATGTTGATTTTTCACTTCACTGCCCAATTGTTCCTAGTATATAGAAATATAGCTGGTTTTTTATGCATATCTTGTATCCAGAAATCTTCCTAAATTCACTTATTAGCCCTAGTAGCTTTATTTGTAGATCCCATAGAATTTTTTATGTAGATGATCATGTCTTTTGCAAATAAAGACAGTTTTACTTCTTCCTATCCAATCTGGATACTTTTCCTTTTTCTTGCCTTACTGTACTGGCTAGAACCTTAGTATGATAGTAAATAGAAGTAGAAACAA